GTGTGTGTGTGTGTGTGTGTGTGTGTGTGTGTGTGTGTGTGTGTGTGAGAGTGTGTGTTTGTAATTTTAGCTAAATATCTCATGAACCACTGGACAGATTTTAATGAAACTTTTAAAACTTAACCATCGGACATACATCTACACCTGATTCACTTTTGGAGTCCACCCAGTTCAAGATATCCACAAAGCTAATCATTAACAACCAGCATAGACATGGCAGCAACTCTGTCAGCTGTGCAGACGAGCACAGTCAGCTTTGGTCTTAAACTCTGGCATGAAAGCTAACAAGCTAAATGCTAGGTCTTAAAAGTGAATTTTTGTTGTCTGAGCTGAGTTTTGTTTGAAAGATGAAGTTGGTGAGTTGCTCATTAACACATGTGTTTGCACAGCTGATGACATCACGTCCATCCAGCAGGAGATCACCATGATGAAGGAATGCAAGCATAAAAACATCGTGGCCTACTTCGGCAGCTACCACAGGTGCTTGCTGTGCGTTTGTTTAAAATGGGTGTCAGTCCTGGGCTGGTGGGTGGGCTCATGTATGTGGCCTGTGTCTTCAGGAACACCAAGCTCTGGATCTGCATGGAGTACTGCGGTGGGGGCTCCCTTCAGGATATATACCAAGGTATAACCGTGCCAGTTCTGGTGTTGGTGTGAACTGTCTGTGCTTCATCTTGTTATAAGATTGTCCAGAATATGTGTGATGTTTGCACGCTCTGTGTGTGAGTTTATTATGTGACGTTTTGTTTATGTTCAAGAAGAAAAACTTCAAAACTTTAAATATTTCAATCAGAGCTGCCACAAATATTTTTAATTTGATTATTCAATTTCTTTAATATTAAAATATACTATTTCCATTTAGTTTAGTTTGTTCCCGTAGAACAAAAACAGGGATTTGGAAATACCTGTCTGCCCATCCATCCGTCTGTGCATGTTGTGAGCGTGATAACTTGAAAAATAAGTGAGTAACTTACATTTTGATGTGTGGCTACAACTAGGCCTGACAAAAAGTCCCTGTCAAGCAAAGTCAAAATCCAAGATGGCCGCCCATATAGGAAGTTTCTTTCAGCTGCTCTCGTCTTCAGGGGTCACCATGAAGGATACTGTTGGATTTAACACACAGGTATCCCTGGAGAAGTCCAGTATGTAACACAATTCAGTTTCAAGTGTACAGATGCATGTAAGAATAGCATTTTATTTTAGTTTTACAAATTCTGTTTTAGGATAACATTACAGTGTAATAATACACCTATCAGTAGCAATAATACCCATCAGGGTGTCCAATAATTCAGAAATAGGTTTTATTCACTACAGAAGTAGCCACAGTCAGTTTTTCCAGGTCCAGGTCATGGATCCCACAGATAAAATAATCAAAAGGCCATGCAGGGTGCTTAACAATTCGCAAGCTTTGGTGTCCAGCTTTTCTCATCAGGAGGGAGGAACTCTGACCGAGGAGACAAACTCACATCAGACTGGGTCCTGCTGAAAAGAGGGACAGGACAAGACCCCACCAGGTGGTGGACAGAACATCACATGCCATCGGTCCCCAGAAGGAGAGTGGCACCTGTACGACCCCACCAGTGCACCCCTGCAGAGGAGAGGAATCGATCGCTGGACCAGATGCAGGGTGATCTGAAGACAGCTCCCCACTACACCTGGAGGAGGTGACAGGACCTTCGTGGGAGCTCATTCTTTGCCCCTTTGTTCTGGTTGGAAAAAGGCAGTAGCAAACATCGGAGAAGGAGTCTCTGCTCTGCCTGAAGTCGGTCGGGTGGATCGGGTAAGGACGGAAGATTACCAGCCCTGACCGTGAAGAACAGAAGACGCGTCAAACTGATTTTAGTTTTGTCCCAATACACACACGTCATTTAGAATGTTTAATCAAACTGATACGGTTCTGAGGACTTTACATGAAGATAACTCCGCGGGCCGAATCCCGCCGAGCACCAAAGGACCCTTGTGGACGAACAAGGGCTCCCACCGCAAGCTCAAGAACTGAAGACCTGCTCGATAGAAATGTTTAAATTGAGGGTGTTGGCTTTTCCTGTTTAATATGAGTATTTTGTCTTACCTTTCATTCATTCTGAAAAACAACCAGAGGAGGGTCGTGGATTCAATTGGAAACTTAACTATTCATTTAACTTAACTATAAACTTAACTTGACTATTAACTTAAATATTCAGTTAACTTAAATATTCAAATATTTTACTCCATTCAATTGGGCATTTAATCATTCTAGAATACCACGAGGTATTTTAAAGGTGGTTTAAAATAGAGTTTCACTCATTTATCTTTCTCTAGGAGGGGTGTTGCCGCATTTTTTGTATTTTTATAAAGGTTCATGTGTGTGGTACTTTTCACAGGTGTCGGATCAGGGGTCTGGTCCAGGACCCCTGGGGAGTGCAGTAAGTTTGCGTCACGTCCATATTGATAAATCCATAAAGAGGGTGAACTCCCATGAATATGGGAGTTCAAAAGAGGGAATGTTGGATTTAATATTTTATACATTTTTATAATTCCTATCAAGCACTCAAATGTCATGTCATATAAAGTGTGTGCGTGTCTTTCTTCCAAGGTTGAACTATGTTTATAGAAAATGTTTGCTAATTCTAACTAGTTGACCTTTAAATATAATCTACTAGTAGCTAAGGATAATTTTACAAGTTCACATTTGATAAATTACAAGCAATCAAATCAGGCCAGAGAGCAGACTGATTAACATAAATAAAGCTAGAACACAGCTCTTTAATTTAGACAATAAAGTTTGACTAAGTAAAATCAAATTAAAAGTATAACCATGATCCAAATAAAAACACGAACATAAGTTAGATAATATAATTATTCCTAGAAATAAACAACTATTTCAAATCAGTTGGTATCACTAAGGTATAATCACGTTAAACAAACAGTGTTAACAGTTTAAACGCAGACAAGGAAACTAAGATAAATCTGCCTTAAAAAACAGAATCACCAGACCTCCAACAGATATTGAATTAACCCCCATGAGGTAGGTAATAATTAATAGTTATTAATTATTACGTATAAACAATTTAGACACGAATCATTTTATATCCCTAAAGTATAATAGCAAGTTAAACTTTAAACAAAAGCCGATTTCGGTGTACCAAAACTTATCTGAAATATAGACGTAACGTCCTTGAGGGGGCGGGCTAAGTCGTAACCATAGCGACAGAAGCTGAACCAATCAGGAAGCTAGCCTTCTCAAACGGGGATAAAAGGCCGGAAATGACGCACGCCCACCGAGCATTTTCCGGGAGGCGCACATGGCGGTTCGTTCTTAATGCTCCATTTATATGCATATATCTTATTAATGTAATTGTTTGTCTCTGAATATCTGTAACCCATGTTGTGTCAAATAAATCTTTTATACGAAGGGCGACGCCTCAGCCGTTTTGAACACGACGTGGTATTCTAACCACAACAATACCCTTCCTGGTGCAACCTGGGCTTGAACCCGCAACCTCAGGAGTACAAGACCGCAGCACTGACCACCAAGCTACATGTTGTGAGCGTGATAACTTGGAAAAAAAAAAAAAAAAAAAATATATATATATGTATATATATATATATATATATATGTGTATATAGGACCCGCTGGTGTATATAGGACCCGTTGGCTCCTCCATTACACCTGATCGTGGATAAAACTTCTCCCTCCACTCATCAGCGTATCGACAGATTTCTGATTCTGTTGCAAGTAAAGAATAAAAAAACTTGCCTACTTACTTATCTTGCACTAAAACATTAAGGTTGACTTCATTCTCTGTTCAGTTCCAGTCCAGAAAAACACTCATCTCCAAAACTACATAACATTCACTATTCAGATCCATCAGTGATGGGAGACATTGGTGTACCACTTCTTTGTCTGATAGAGCTTTAAGCAGCATCTGTGGATGAACTGTTTACAGACGGTGATCCGTGGAAGTGTTCCTGAGCCCTGAATAGAACCAGACCTGGTTTTAATGCAGTGGCCCCTGAGGGCCAGAAGAACGTCCCAGTAGACTTTCATCCTCTTCCTTTGAGCTCAGAGTTTCTACAGCTTCTTCTAATCTGTTGATGACATGAGCTTCAGGTGGTGGGAGGCTCTTATCTTCAGTGTTTGGTTGAGGAACATTATTCTGAATTGTTCCAGTAATTTTCGTGGTGAACCTCTGCCCATCTTTACTTCGAAGACGTTCAGCCCCTCTAAAATGTTTTGTTCTACCCAGTTCTCTTACCGACTGCTTGACAATTAACTTAAGTTACAAAATGCTCAGATGTGTTGCTTCATTAAAATTCAAAACTACATTTTTTCCCCCAGAAAATGTTATATTTGTTTTTTAGTTTTGACATGACTGTTTCATTGTGAATAACATATGTAGGTTTATTAATTTAGCTAATCGTTGTATTCGGACTTTATTTACATTGTACACAACGTCCTAACTGTTTCAGGACGGTGTTTGTGATGCTTTTATCTCTGGTGGTGAAATTAAATGACATTTATCTAAAATCCTGTTTAGGTCTACTTCATGAATAAACCTCAAGTCTTTTTCTTTCACCTCCAGTTGATTGTGAAACTAAAACTCAAACTTCTTTTCAGTGACGGGTCCGTTGAAGGAGAAACAGATAGCGTTCGTGTGCAGGGAAACCCTTCAGGTGAGACTCTGCAACATCGTTACACTCTATGTTGGCATTAAGTTCTTATCATCTGCTGTGCAAAGACAAAGGCGGGTGATCATGTTTTTACCTTTCTGTTACCTGAAATACCTCATGGACCCCAGGATGGATTTAACAAGCCTGTGGTGGATAAAACCGAACTTTGTTGACTTTTTGAATGAGTACAGTAAAATGTTCAAAGTTCATGTTTTACCAGAGTTGAATAAAAAGTAAACTATATTGTCTTTAAAAAGTCCACCATCACCCATCTGCACCAGCGTGTTGGTGAGTTCTGATTCATCATAATGTGAATCCTGCTGTGTCAACTCTACTCTGATCCATTTTTCTTCCGTAGGTTTTTCGACGTGATTCTTATCTTGCGGTTTTCAAGATATTTCAACAACTCTTAAATCAAGTCATGCAGCTCTTTCTGGACATTCATGCTGTATACTTTGGTATTAGTGCAACTTTAGCTTTTTGAAATATTTAGCCTTTTCTGTCATTTTTTTCCTCATAGAAAATAATTAGTTAATCATAATTAATTAATTAATCATCTTTCAAATGTTTAGATCTGTTTACAACCTTTTACGGCTCCTTTCACATTTTGTTCTGCTTCAGCTTCTTTAAGCTTCCTTGTGTAAATTTAAACATTTTTTTCAGCTACTTACTCATTCATTCAGCCTTTATTTATACAGGTTAATCCCACTGAGCCTCGGGGACTCATTTACAAGAGAGACCTGATTACAGCACTTGCAGCTAATTTCATCTGTTTTTTTCAGCTCAACATTTTTCAGTCAGGTCATCTGGACAGATTATTTTTTTTTTGTGCTGAAATATTTTACCTTCCATCCAGAAGGCTTCATCAGTCAAGGAAACACACAACACAAAACTGATTCTTCCCCCAACAGCTTACTCCAAAGTGGAACAAACCAGTTATGTTGGTGCTAAGATGGTCTCTTTGGCACGCCCCCTCCTGTTGTGCCGGCCCTCTTTCTCATCGACTGTCATGTCATACTGGTTCAAAACCAACAAAGTCCATGCTCAATAATCCAGGTATACAATCCAACAATTTTCAGTCCGGTCATCTGGACTGTTTCTTTGTGTGTGTGTGCTTAGCACCAATCTGGACAGATTGTTCTTCTTGAAACATTTCTTCTTTTATCAAAAGACTTCAGTCTGAGGAGCTGCAGTTGTTGACTCAACCTTGTTAGATTTATCTACCTGGATTATTGAGCATGCATCAGGACAACGGTCTTTTTAGAATCTGTTTTAGCATATTTGGTCCATTTATGTCTTTCTTTGTTAATTTTAGCTTTTAGCTACCATTTTGCTACTTCAAGCATTAGTGTAAATTTTGGTATTTTGAGGTTTGAGCTAGGGGTGGGCCCCGATTTCCTTAATTTTGTGAAATCGGCCGATACTTACATGAGAAGCGATTTTACCTTTTTTTTTAGTTTTAACAACAATTGTCTGAACTTGATTTATATTTCAGAGCACTACCTCATGGCCAGTTAAAACAAGTTTGTATTGTTTCTAGGATATTGTTCAAGGGTATGTTTTATAATGAAATAATATTGGAAAATTGAAGGTGCATTGTGACTTATAACACCTGACAGTGTTGCTTATAAAACAAAATCGATATCGGCCAAAATCGGAATCGGCAGGTCAGACTTTTTAGAAATCGGTGATCGGCCAGAAAACTGCAATCGGTGCACCCCTAGTTTGAGCCACTGTTCTACTACTTTAGGCTTTTAGCTGACCTTTTGCTACTTAGCTACTCTTAGGCTGTTTTTACCTAGCCTATTTTTATATTTTGCTAGGGTTTTGATGCTTTTAGCTTTTACATACTGTAGCTTACAGGAGTTTTTTCTATGACATCTTAACTGGATGGATTTATTTCCTGGTAAAATAAAGGAAAATAAATGTTTAAATAAATTAGTTTGCCTGCATTTTTTATATGCTGAATGCTTGAATATCTGTAATTAAGAATAATGAAAATACTGTATGTACACAATATTCAGCTGATTTACTGCATTTTTTTTTGTTTGCTTTTTTTTTTTTATACCAGGGTTTATATCACCTGCATGAAAATGGCAAAATGCACAGAGACATAAAGGTAAATATTTTTTAAGCTTCTTATGTTTTCATGGACATGACGATGCAAGGTTTTACTCAGAATCATCCCGTTAAGATGATTATAAATGTTTGTTTCTTCTCCAGGGAGCCAACATCCTTCTGACAGACAGAGGAGACGTCAAACTGGGTTAGTGTGTGGTATATGATCAGGTAGACCTAAAGAAGCCATACTGAGTCTCAGTCTCCAGTGGGAATGTGTGTCTCTTTGTTTTAGCTGATTTTGGAGTGGCAGCAGAGATCAGTGCCTCCGTGGCCAAAAGAAAGTCTTTTATTGGAACCCCTTACTGGTAAGCTAAAACTCCCTTACCTTCTCTTGAAACAGTCTGCTCTATCTCCAATCTTTCTGATGCTTCTCTGTGGTTTTCTTTAGGCTCTTTCTGTTCTTAATCTTTATGGTAGAGCTTTGCACATCCTGCTTGTTCTCTAAATCTTTAATTATGTGAATGCTACCGAGTTGGCGTTTTCCAGCTTTATAATTTCTTCGTATGTTTTTTGATAATCAAACTACTTTTGCACACTCCCTTCACAGCAAAGGAAGTGCACTTTTAAAAGTTTTTAATAATCTTTAATTAGCTACAGACTCAGGAGACTCAGCTGTACTTTTGCTCTCAGACCTGACAGCTGCTTTTGACCCAGTAGACCACAGGATTCTGGACTCCCAGCTGGAGCACTATGGTGTCAAAGGTTCTGCACTAGACTTGTTCATGTTTTAACTGACAGATTGGAGTTTCTCTGTAAGCCTCAGAGAATCTCTTTCCTCCTCTGCCCCTCTAACGTGGAGTTCCCCAAGGATATATTCTTGGTCCCATTTTATTTTCCATTCATGTTCTCCCTTTGGCTTTATCTTTAGAAAAGTAAACATCTCTCTTCACTCCTACACAGTCCACACTGAAATGTACCTGCAGAGATTTTAAAAGTAAATAAAATAACACCACTGTTTGACTGCCTCACTAAATAAACATTGAATGAGCCAAGCGTGGATGTCTTCAAACTTCAAATAAAAATTAAGTTATTGTTTTGGTTCCAGTGGAAACCACAGTGCTTCTCCCACAGATCTGGAGAGCTTAGAGCAGTTTATAAAATTTATGTAAAACATATGGAGAAGATATTTAAATCTAATTTCACTTTTGAGAAACAGATTACATCAGTAGTAAAGAGATTGTTTATTAAAATTAGAGCTTTTATCTAAACTAAATTTGATTTTCCTTTCATGGCTTTGAACCAGTGATTCAGTTTTATTACCTCCCAACTGGACTATTGTATCTCTTTGTATGATGGTGTGAAGGTAGTTTCATACTACATCTGGAATCCACCAGTTAACTCGGTGTTGCATGGTTGTGAGTTATTCACTTTTGCACACACCTTTCATAGTCCACCAGGCACGTTGCAGAGTTCCTTGGAAACCCAACCCGCTGCAGTATACGTCACCTTAGGGGTTTCTTCCTACCAGGGTCTCCACTTCATCCCTGCATCTGCCATTTGGCCATAAATCTGAAGCAAGTGCCACACTTTTCATAGGACGGACTCCTCCATGCACATCTGTACAATCTCCATCCAGGAGTTTTTGATCGTTTGACCCATTTAGTGTGTCTGTAAGAGTCGTACCAATGGATGTATTTTCTGACTGCCTCAGCCAACTGCTCCTCAAAGCTGTTGCTTCAACAAACAAGAGCTGACTTCTAGAAGCAGAGTTGAATGGAAATGACAACATCACTGTCAGAAAGTTCTAACAAAGTTGTCAGGTCTTCTGGACGGATTCTTCTTGTTGAAACTTTTCGTCTTTTTTCCAAAAGACTTCTTCAGTCTGAGAAACTGGAATAAACTCGGTCTTATAAGGAGCACCTTCTCATAGTGGATCTAGTACCATCCAGAACCAGCTGTTCACATGGTCAAGAAGGACCATCAGCCTAACAATGGATCATTAGCACACTGATGGCTGTTTACTGTTCACAGAGGGCTGAGTGATACTAGCAATCACAGCATTGTAAGAGGGGGACAGTTGAACCCGGAGGCCTCCACCCCTGTTTAATGATGGACGGTTTCTTTTCACAAAGATGGCCTCCTTTACTCCTCTCTCAAACCATCGTTCCTCTCTGTCCAGGATGTGAACATCTTCATCCCTGAAAGAGTGACCGCTGGCCTGGAGATGAGTGTAGACCGCAGAGTCCTGGCCTGATGATGTTGATCTTCTGGACCATCCTTTTGACCAGTGGCTGTTTAGTTTCCCCGATGTAAAACTTGATTTGAATGAACTTGAAACAAAATTTTGATGAACTCGTTTTTAAACAAAGAAGTATGAACATATCTCCCCAGTGTTGGTCTCAGTGTTTGGTGTTATTGTTTCTTGTGCAGCACTTTGGTCAGTGGTAAATGTTTTTCAATGTGCTATGTAGATACATTAGATTTGATACTTTGTGCATATCTTAATATTCAAATAACAAAACATTAAGCTCAGTGTGCTTTGAGTTTTGTATTTTTTTATACTTTTCAAAATGTTTAGCTTTAATTACAGATATGTTTTCATCAATTCCTTCAAAAACTTTAACTATTTGCTGATGACCTGCTGTACTTTTGTCTTAAGCTCCGTTTACCTTTGGGGATTGTTTTGGGAATTATAGCTTTTAGCTCTGATTTTGATTGAACTATTTCCTAAGGTTGTGTTAATTAAACTTTACACTACTCCTTTGGTTATTTTAGCTTTTAGCTACTGTTCACCTGCATTAGTCTTTTAGCTACTGTTCTGCTGGTCTTGGGTTTATTGTTTTGTTCAGTTTATTTGGGGTTTGTCTTGTAGTAGTTAATGTTCTGATTGTTTTTGTCAGTATCTGTTTGGGGGTTATGTTTCGTAGTTTTATGCGTTCGTTTTTGCTTTCCTGTTCGTTGCTATGTTTATATTTTGTGTTTTATTCTTCTGTGTTCCTGGGTCCATACCTTCCACAAGCCGTGACAGTTTCTGCTTGTTTTACCGTCAGTGGTTCAGTTCCAGCTTCCGCTCCAGCTCTCAGCTTTTACAGAAAGTGCTCATTTTCCAGTTTGCCAATACGTCATGTTATTAATGTTTTCTACAACCCTTTGTTCAATGTCCAGGATGGCTCCAGAGGTGGCTGCAGTGGAAAAGAAGGGCGGCTACAACCACCTGTGTGATATCTGGGCCGTCGGGATCACTGCCATCGAGCTGGCCGAGCTCCAGCCGCCCATGTTTGACCTGCACCCCATGAGGTCCGTCAGCAGCACGGACAGAACACAGATGCTCTGAACCATCTTTGTTGTGAATCGTTCTGCACAGTTAATGCGTCAAAACACTAAAAATGTTTTTATTGGTTTAAAAAATGTTAGAGCGTTGATGCTGATGTCCAAAAGCAGCTTCCAGCCACCCAAACTGAAGGATAAAACCAAGTGGTGAGTTTCTGTTTGCTATTTGAAAACCAGACAGTAAAACTTGTAGAGTTACTGAAGTTAGTTCAGAAAGAGTTATTCATGAGGCTGGTGACAAAAATACAAGTATGATGTTATTTAAAACATTCATTCAGTGCTTTAGTCACTGTGTTTAACTGAGTTTCCATTGGTGTCAGTCAGCTGTCACTGCATGTCGCCCGCCACCCAAGGGTCATTGGGGGTATCTCTACCCCGGTCTGTGTGTCCTCCCATGTCTGCAGGTCGGCAGGTTTTCAAAGCTTTGTGAAGATGGCTCTTATTAAAAACCCTCGTAAAAGACCGTCGGCTGAGACACTGCTGCAGGTTGGTCTCTTCATGCACATCGCTGAAAGCTAACCTTGTTCATGCTCAGGTTGGGCTCTTGTTTTCTAAACGTACAAAATAAAATGAACAGAGGTTTATCAACAAGAGTAAGTTCAGTTCAGTACTCTGACTCTGGGAACTTCCTGTAGAATTACATCATTTAATAAAAATATGGCATTTAGAAGCACTGGAGAGATGAACCCAAACCACATGGCTAAAACTCAGAGAAATGGATCAGAACCAAACACTGGACTATTCTGAAGTGGCCTTCTGGGCCCTGATCTAACTCCTGTTGAACATCCGTAGAAGGAGCTGCAACATCTGGAGGAGGAGCCTTTCAGACCTGAGACAGCTGAAGCAGTTTGATCATGAGGACTGGACCAGAACACCTGTGGACAGATGGACCAGAACACCTGTCAACATGTGGACTAGAACACCTGTCCATATGTGGACCAGCACACCCGTGGACAGCTGGACCAGAACACCTGTGGACAGGTGGACCAGAACACCTGTGGACAGGTGGACCAGAACACATGTGGACAGCTGGACCAGAACACATGTGGACAGCTGGACCAGAACACCTGTGGACAGCTGGACCAGAACACCTGTGGACAGCTGGACCAGAACACATGCGGACAGCTGGACCAGAACACCTGTGGACAGCTGGACCAGAACACCTGTGGACAGCTGGACCAGAACACCTGTGGACAGCTGGACCAGAACACCTGTGGACAGCTGGACCAGACTATTTACAGACCAGTGTTTTTCTTTTCTCAGTTTCAAGATTTTCATTGTCGGTTATTTTATTTTATTTTTTCAGCACGTGTACAAACATTCTGACATTCTATAGACGTAAATTACAACAAGTGACTTTCAGTTCACAAAAATCTGAACTTCTCTGGGATCAGATGTCACAAAGTATTCTGGAGCTAACTGTCAGCAGGACAAACCTTCAGGAGTCAGAGCTGCAGCTGTTCCAGCCACCAGCAGGACTAAGACGTCCATGTTGTGTCTCAGTCAGTAAGAGCAGAAAACCATTCATGTCTGTTACAGCAGCATCATGTGACGTCCATACTCAACCTCATCAAACTGATCAAACAGACAGTTCTGATCCATTAACTCCACTGTTTAATCCTGTCTCATACTGGTCCTCCTGCAGCATCCGTTTGTCACTCAGCTGCTGACACGAAACCTGATCATCGAGCTGCTGGACTCGGCCAACAACCCAGAGCTGCACTCCACGCTCACGCACATCGATGACAGCGAGCTGGAGGTCAGTGGGCGGAGTCAACGTCGCATTAACAGTACTCACACTTTGGAAGTATTTTTATCAGCTGCTAACCAGAGGAATGTCACTTCCTGTGAAAATACAGAGTGAATGTTTACTGCTGAATGATTTTTACTGAAACCAGCTGAAAATAATTCATCGCTCAACTGTTAGTTGAACTTGAACAGCTGACATTTGCTGAAAGCATGAAAAGAAAAGCTGAAACAGTAGATAAGTGCAGAAAAAGCTGAAGAGAGCAGAAATATATCAGAAATGAGCAGAATCAGCTGAAATATGCAGCGAGGGGCTGAATAGATTAACATCTTATACAGGGATTAACCTGTCTAAATAAAGATTGAATGAATGAATGAAAAAAATATCTGAAATTAGCAACGACAAAAATAAAAAAAAATGATGAAATGAGCAGGGAAAAAGCTGACATTAACAGAAAGAGGCTGACTGGAGTTTATAAAGGTAGAAATCATTAGAGAGAAGCAGAAAAGGCTGAAATTAGCATTAAAAGTACCAAAAGAGTAGCTTAAAAAGCAGACACAAGCTGACTAACAGGAATGAGCTGAAATTAGCAAAAAAGCAACTGAACGTTTCCATTCAGTTTAGCAAAGATCATGCTTGATAAAAAAGATGTCTAACAACTCCTTAGCAGTATAAGATATACTTTCTGTAAAATGGATCTTGTGACAATATATTATCCAGAATCTGCAAAGAATAAAAAAATAAAAGTTTATACAATTGCTCTTTGGACTTTAGTCTATCGGGTTCAGTGAAGTTCTGGAAACAAAGTTTTGCGCTTTCTGAATCTAAAGGATTTCAATGTTTTTATCCAAGAGGTTTAATTAAAACTTTAAGTTTCTTTGATAACATGCAGACTTTCATAATTATTATTTTTTTTGTCATTTTCTTTTCAATTAACCATGTTGGGGGGGCGAATTGAGATTGTCATGGGGCCACTTTTGGCCCTCGGGCCACACGTTGCCCATGTCTGCAGTATATACAGTATATATACAGTATAACTGGTTTATACTGGGTAGATTCAGGGCTTTAATGTGTCTTTCTACCATATCTTGTCAGTTTCCGTTTGAGTATCTGGTTTAATTATTATTTGCATTCTTCCATAACTTCAGCATGCTGCTGGGTCTAAACAACATGTCTGTTGTCGGATGTTACTTTGTGGAAAGCTGATTGTGTTTTGATGGTGTTGACAGGTGGAGGAAGTGACTCCAGACAAGATTCAGTCAGCAGGAAACCATCTGTCTGTGGAGAGGACCCTGTCTGAAGAACAATGTGAGCAAACAGCCTTCTGAACACACACTTTCAAAATAAAGTCTGACTTTTAGCTTCTTTAGGAAAATTATGATTTTCAAAATTCCCATCCATCCACACATACTGTAGATACAGTGGTGCTTGAAAGTTTGGGAAGTCTGTATAATTTTCTATATTTCTGCATAAATTTAACCTAAAACATCATCAGATTTTCACACAAGTCCTACCAGTAGATAAAGAGAACGCAGTTACAGAAATGAGACAAAATATTATACTTGATAATCTATTTATTGAGGAAAATGATCCAATTTTTTCATATTTGTGATGGTAAAAGTATGTATATGATATACATAAATATGTGTGTATATATACATATGGATATATATATCTGTACATATTTACACACACACATAAAACTGAGACATTTTTGATGACATGGTAGGATCCTCTTTAAATAATTCTGGGATGTGTAGGTGTGAGTGTGTCTGATAGGTCAGTGGTTTTTTTTTATCTGTTGTCCGGTGGTTTGATCTCTGCTTGGAGCAATTACCGTATTTTCCACCGTACACGTCGCTCTGCCCTATAAATCACATCAGTCCATATTTGTCTAATAAAGTGGTAAAAATCCATAAATATGTCACTTCGCCATATAAGTCGCATTTATTATGCGTCACCGCTGACGACCCGGAAACGTGTGACGTTGTTGTACCAAAAATCGACAGGCTGCCAAATGGCGGCCGCGGGAGCGTGTATGGGAGGACTTTAACAAGATTTTAACAAGATTAACACTTAAAAACAATTATTAGTTTGCTCAACATTATAGTAAAGGTGTGTCTCAGTGTAACTTTTGCTTAATAAATGAACTTTGACGGTCAAATCAGCTGCATTTCAAAAGGCGATACGCGGAAATAGGCGCGTGCACGGGAGGACTCGCTGAGCATTTCTTTAAAATTTAACAAGATAAGCCCTAAAACAATTGTTTTTTTTGCTCAAAATTATAGTAAAGGTGCGTCTCAGTTGAACTTTTACTTAATAAATGTATTTCAATGGTCTAATCAGCTGCATTTCTCCGGGGCAGTGCAGCGAAATAAAGCTGATTTGACGGTTGGGTGACAGGCTATGGCAAGCCAATTGTGTCATTAATAGTTACTTTTACCTATTACATGACACACTGACATACCATACTACTCAAGTGCCATCTAGCGGCTGAAAATGGTAGTGTTCAATATTTTCAGCGGTCATATCTCAGCCAAAAATTGGTTTATAAATATGGGCAAAAATCCATAAATACATCGCTTCAACATATAAGTCGCAGGGCATGCAAATTATGTAAAAAAAATAATAAAAATCCTGCGACTTCTAGCCTGAAATATATGGTATTTGAATCAGTAATGATTTTTCTAACATCATTTTTTTCATTTATATATTTATTTTAGAGTTACTTCACTGAACTTTTTTCTTTCATTTAACTGTGTTAATCTGAAGTATTATTTCATAATTAATACTTCAGATTAAATTAAAAATCCAACCCAGAAAGCTGTGCACCTTTCTGTTTTGGTTTACACAGATAAAATTAAAATGGTAAATGGACTGTACTTATATAGCGCCTTTCTATCTAATCAAGATACTCAAAGCTCTTTACAACACAATCTGTGCCTCATTCACCCATTCATACAACTCTATACTATATCTATACAAAGATAATTGAACAAATAATTCTAAAGAGACTAATGAGAGCTTTAGATCACGTTCATACACTGATGGGACACACATCAGAGACTATGAGGGGTTCAGTGTCTTGCCCAGCAACATTGCTATCATCAACATCAACATTGCTATGGATGTTGCTGGAGTATCAGAGAAATTCAGAAGGATTTTCAATAAACACAACATCCCAGTACATTTCAAACCCAGCAGGACTCTCAGACAGAGGCTGGTCCACCCTAAGGACAAAACACCCATACACAAACAGAGTGGTGTAGTGTATGCGGTCCAGTGCAGCGAGGACTGTCCAGACCTCTACATTGGAGAAACTAAACAGCCTCTTCACAGACGCATGACTCAACACAGGAGAGCCACCTCCTCTGGACAAGACTCAGCTGTTCACCTCCACCTCACAGATAAGGGACACTTTTTTGAGGACCAAAATGTGCACATTTTGGACTGAGAACACAGATGGTTTGAGAGGGGGGTGAAGGAAGCAATTTATGTAAAAAGGGAAAACCCATCTCTTAACAGAGGAGGAGGCCTCAGATTCCCACTTTCAAAAACATATAATGCAACTTTAAGACTGATTCCCAGCTGGTTTTCACACCTGATGGGAACAGAGGGACTTGTGACTTGTCAAATCTACATATGTGTGTGTGTCTTATCTCACTCAGCTTTATAACCTGAATCTCTCACTCACTGCTCATTGAATTGAAAAAGCTCCTCGGATGAGGAGCGAAATGTCTTCTGTTACAAATAAAGTCCAATTGTTTTTGTATTGAACACTTTTGAATTCATTTTTGAAGCCCACCCAGTTGAAGATTTCTTCAACTAATAGTCAACAAACTGGCTCTAGTTTAGTTTTACGGATCTCTGAGTGTGGACATTGAATTCGGTCTTTTTACAGTGGGGATGAACGTTGAAGCCCACTCACTGTATGTTGCTCATATTTGCTGGAAAGTGGCTTCATTGTCCAGCCTCAGGGCTGTGGTGTGAACGAGCACAAAGGCCTCTCAGTCAGCATGGTGATGGCTGTTCTGTAACTTTTCTGTACATGTTGGATGAATACTACGTCAGAAGATGGCACTGAAAACATGCCCTGCATGTGACAGACAGAAGTACTTCTTTTCTAAATGACTTCATACAGTCAGGCAGCTGAAGAGCCTCTGGAGGAGCGCTGTAGTTGACTGGCCTCAGCGCTGGTTACTGTTGTATCATAAATCAGACAGGTGTTGACCTCAACTTCCTGTGAATACCGTACAGTGACACTTCACTGTTCTATTTCACTACAATGGTCTGGGGGTAGTTCCGTTTTTTTTAAAATTATTATTATTCATTTCCTTTCAGCTGCTCTCTTCTTCAGGCAGTTGTCACAACAAGCAAACCTGTAAAAAGATTTATTTAATGTAATAATAATGTATAATTTTGTAATTATAAGTGTAAATAAAATAGAGTGTATCGCTCTGTGCACTGAACCCTGGGGAACTCCATGACCAACTCTGGTGTATGAAAAACATTCATTATCAACATGAACAAACAGGAATCTATCTGATAAATATGATCTACAAATTAAAGTAAATCAGGGCTCTCCAACCTTTTTCACACCGTGGACTGGTTTTATGCAACGCTATTTTTCCACAGACCAGCGGCAGAGGTACACGTGAGGGGAGGTAACAAAACACAGTAAAGTGCATCACATAGAAGTGGATTATTACATCTATAATATTATATATCAGAATCAGGTTTGTCATTGCACTGAAGCACAACAAAATTACATTTCAGTACAGCTCGTCCGACAGAAACGTGAACAAACATGGGGAGATGGAGGTGACTGAGGCCGCGGCCTCGAGAGGAGCAGCCCTTTTATTCAGATAAGGAAAAGAAACACGAGCGGGGGTGGAGGTGTAAAAACAATCAAATCTCACAGTGTCCTAGACGGGACACAATGTGAGAGTTGCAAATAAATGACCTCAGCACATGAAACAGCAACCTACTGATGACATCATAGTACATTTACATTTATATATATAATTTATATTATTATATATTAAACAGTAGTCCCTCGCTACTTTGCTGTTCATTTTTTGCAGACTTGCTCAGTCGCGGTTTTTCAAAGTAAGACTGGACCTGACACACAACTGACTGATTTATGAATGTCGAACAATCCGCATGGAAATTTTATTTAAAATAAATTATTTTAAATTATTTAGCACCTGCTGCACCTGTGTGCAGCCCACAATGCAGGAGAAACTTCCTCCTCCTCCTTCCTCCTCTGTGATCTTCATTCTGCTGTGGAGAAGTGGGCGTGGCTGAGAGGAGGCAGAGAGCTGAAATCATGACATTCTGTGCTCTTTTAGAGCGATTAGAAACATTGTTTAGAATATTGCAAGAGTGGGAAGGGTTTAAAATGCCTATAAAATGTTTTTATTTCAGGCAGAGGTCCCTGTAAGGAATTATAGTTTCTGGAAGACAATAATATTTAGAAATTTGTATTTTTAAACAGTTAATGTAAGGTGAACAATTTCCCCCCTAAGGAGCGCTAGTCATAAAGTCAAAATATAATTTACTTTACAATAAGGCTCCTCTTATAGATGGCTAATAAATAGTTTATAGATATGTTATTAATTCCTCTATAAGCACTTTATAAATCATTAATAACTGATTATGCATTAATTAAGGGTGACAGAGAGAAAACGGACCAGTTTCTTTCCAAATAGTGAGTTAAATGTGTTCATCTATATATTTCATCTAGAGTTGTTATATTAAACATTTCAGACTAAGTTGCTACCTTGTGAGCACAATAAGTATTTGTAAACCTAATGTTCTTAGGATATAATATTAGTTGTAGATAATTATAATGCAGTGATAAAGTACAATATTACATGCTAAAGAATTAGGTTTATAAATGCTTATTGTGCTCACAAAGTAGTAACTTAGTGTGAAATGTTTAATCTAACAACTCTAGATGAAATATATAGGTGAACACATTTTGCTCATTATTTGGAAAGAAACTGGTCAGTTTTGGGTCCGTGTACATTCAGGCAGTTTGTTTTTTCGTTTGAAACAAAAAATGAAAAAACAAAAAGAGAGAACTTCCGCGCCAGATCACTTGTCAAACATAAAATCATGATAATCGAAAGTGAGCGCTCGTTATCCGTTGTTTCCATTTTCGTTTTGTGCACAAAATCAGAAATCGGATTACGCTTCGTTATGCGATTATTATTATTTTTTTTCATTTTGGTTTAATAAACAAAAAAAACAAGTGTGTTTGTGTTTTTTCATTTTTGTTTCAAACGAAAAAACAAACTGCACACGGACCGTTTTGTCTCTGTCACCTTTAATTAATGCATAATAAACAATTGTTAAAGTCTTTATAGAGGAATTAAAAACGTATCTGTAAACTATTTATTAGCATGTATAAGGGGAGCCTTATTGTAAATTGGTACCAACAATTTAAAGGTTAAGGATTAATTGGATTGACTCCAAATTTTAATCGGCTGTAGAAGAAACATCCCATAGTTAAGGTTTATTAAAATGTGTAGTTCCTAATATATTCTGATAACAGACACATAAACCCAGATGTTATTGCCCTCCTTGTAGCAGCGGGCTGTAAAAATCTCCATTTTGTTCCACATGTTGTTGTTTGTCAGAGTTGTCTGCTCTTCTTTCAGTTGGCCAAGTGAAGTTTAGGCCTCCGGTGAGGAAAGTCACAGAGCCGTATCCAGACTTGGTAACTTCAGTTTTTCTTTTAACATCTATTATTGGCATGAAAAATACTAAACATGACCAAAGTTCTTGTTGTTCTGTTTTTTAGAGCTCTTATGACGACGACTGGAGTCTGTCTGGAGATGAAGACAACTCCCCGTAAGTCTCATCTGGTTTCTGTTCTTTCCTCTTTACCTTCAGTCTGTAATGAAAAGAACTCATCTGTGGTTTAAAAACTTAAAACAATTGGACAATTTCAAAAGGAACAATACTGTCTAAATAAAAACATGGAAGTACTGAAAGGTTTTCAAGAACTGGAACGTGGGTTGTGTCTGTTTTAACACGTTCTAAATGAGTTTGTTTTATAGAGTTCTCATTTTAGGTAAATTATATTCATAATTTTGTAGTTTTGGACGAGTCAGTCAAATGAAACTGGACCACAGTCAACCTGTTTATTGTCCCATCCTCCCTGTGAGCTGGATAACTTAAAACATAAGCAACGTGCAGACTTGTATTTTAGCCTGTTCCTTCATCTAGGCATAAGAAAGGTCACAATTGAAAACTGGGTTTCTATGTCAAAATCAAAGATGGCCACCACAATATTTATATGTACACCTATCATTTGCTTGGTAATATTTTCTGCTATAAAAGTATAATTTTATATTGCTTACAAGTATAATTACCTCAAATTATTGAGCTTATCCTTGGGGTGACCTCAGCTTAATTTATGGTGTCCAAGGCCACCACTGGCCACCCCCTGGCACCTCCACTGCACCTAGAGGGTGAACAGGAACAGTGCCAGCACAGTTCCCTGAGGGACCCCTGTCCTGCAGACCAGCCTGTCAGAGACACAGTCCAGTGTCCTTACATACAGTGGGCAGCCAGTGAGGTAGTCCAGTGTCCACTGGGACAGGTGGTGGTCCATTCCTGACAGCTCCAGCTTGTTCCTCAGAAGTCCAGGCTGGATAGTGTTGAAAGCACTGGAGAAATCTAAGAACGTGATCCTCACAGAGCTTCCAGGCTTCTCCAGGTGGGTCAGAGCTCGGTGCTGGAGGTGGATGATGACATCATCACATGTGGTCTTCAGCGCTGGTACTGGAGGTCTCCCACAGCTGTGCTCCTTTCCCCAGCTTCAGGCTCATGTTGAACATGAATCCCATGATGCCACAGCTGATCTGACTAGCAGCGGTGGCTTTTGATATGGACGATATCGGCAGCTGCCCAGGGTGGCATCTCGCCAAGGGTGGGACAAGAGCCCAGCCCCACCCGCGCCCTCCCCCTCAAAAACATTAACACATTATGTCCTATAGCCAGCTACACAGATGGACCAGAACAGGTCAAAGCCATCAGGTGCCCAGTTCAGAGAAAAGAAGAAGAAGAAACGAGCAAAGATGAAGGTCTGCAGCTGTGTCATCTCTCTGAGTGAAAGCTGCTCTGTTGTGTAGACGATGCCTGTTGCAAGGTAGACTTACAATTAAGAACATCAAAGACACTGTTAGCTGCTCAGGATGACATATTAGGTTTTCAGCAGAAAATATTACCTTTTTGAAGACTGAAATTCTTCTAAACTTTAACTACTACATGGGAAAGTAATTTTAGTCTACTACAATTACTAAAGGCGATGATTTTGTGATGTAGCTTGAACCGTGTTAAATATCCATGAACTGAAAGAGGTGTTGATTTGTCTCATTCTGAATATTTCACTAACTGGACACATTTCTAGGCCTGTTTGTTTTAGTCTTAGTTGTTAGCTGTTTGCTGTGCCAGTATCAACCAAACAGCTGCAGAGCAGATTTCATTTGATGACATTATTGATGACTTTTCATCAAAGAAGACAAGAAGGCTCAATATGTAGATGGCAGCTGTGCAGTTTAATCTGTGTTTCTTCTTTGAAAAGTAATCATGTAGATTAATTTATTGAAAGAAGGGTAAGACTTAGTTAATGACAGTGTAATTTAATTTGTGTTTCTTGAAGTGCAATAGTGTAAATTGTCTTATCCAGAAAAGTTCAGACCTTCCTTTAGTTGTGCAGAGAAATTTATGTCTTGATAAAAAAAACAATTGTTGTACACAGATTTTTTTAAGTGTTCTTCTGTTGGTGCAGTTTAGAAATGTCTTGTTTTAATTGTGTTTATTTTCTACAGAATTTATTTTTTGTATTATATACTTTTAAATATATGGCAGCACTGTGGTTCAGGTGATAGAGCTGTTGCCTCTCAGCAAGAAGGTCACAATTCAAAAACCAGTTCAGAGACCTTTCTGGGTGGAGTTTGCATGTTCTCTCCGTGCATGCATGGGTTTTCTCTGGGCATATACGGTTATTGTGATAACGTAAACTCCTGGGGTAGATAATACAGCCTCATGCTAACAAACTAGTAGCTTGATTTTTGTACTGCAGAGCTCCTCTGCCCAGAGTTACACATACCCATCATACCATACATACAAACTGGATTCCAAAAAAGTTGGGACACTAAACAAATTGTGAATAAAAACTGAATGCAATGATGTGGAGGTGCCAACATCTAATATTTTATTCAGAATAGAACACAAATCACAGATCAAAAGTTTAAACTGAGAGAATTTATCATTTTAAGGTAAAAATCTGTTGTTTCCAAATTTCATGGTGTCAACAAATCCCAAAAAAGTTGTGACAAGTCCATTTTTACCTCTGTGTGGCATCCCCCCTTCTTCTTACAACATTCAACAGACGTCTGGGGACAGAGGAGACCAGTTTCTTAAGTTTAGAAATAGGAATGCTCTCCCATTCATGTCTAATACAGGCCTCTAACTCTTCAATCGTCTTGGGCCTTCTTTGTCGCACCTTCCTCTTTATGATACGCCAAATGTTCTCTATAGGTGAAAGATCTGGACTGCAGGCTGGCCA